GCTGAACACACACAAAGAGCTGACATCCCTTTGGGTTTCTAGAGCCCCCAGGTCTAGAAAGGTGCTAAACAAGGGCTCGCTCCTGTCTTCTGCTGCTACTACGTCAAGTGATACAGGCCACAGGTAATAATACTGGTCAGGCAGGTGCTGACTGGAGAATGGTAGATTAAGCAAATTGTCCTGGCAGGGCACATGCAGGAGGAGCTCCTCATGATGGGACTCAGCAGAGCATCGGGAAACCTGCCAGCAACGTAAACGTTTTGTGAATTTGTCTCAGTTGTGCTCAACTTTCCATGAATAACAAACCACAATGAATGGTGAAAGCTGAAATTTTTCGTGTTGGCAACTCCAGCGAGAACATCTGATTTCCAGTTGGAAATGGCTCCTCATTTAGAAAATGCATTCCCCTTTATTCAAGAAAATAGCTGTTAGAACATCCTACAATGCTTGAATCTGAAATGAAATGTTTTCTTTACATCGAATTCCAGAAACTTGTGAGGTGGAGAGTTGGAAGGATTTTAATAATTTTTAAAAATAAACAAAACCATCAGTCATTGAAAAGTTCTCTTCCTGGCTCTGCCTCTGACCTCTGATGCGATTTGGGGTATCTCAGGACATTTACTAATCCTTTGTTTTGCCAGCTTAATTTGGACCTATAGCTATCCCTGCTTGTGTTTGTGTTGCACCAGTGGGTTTCTGACCTCGGATGGGCTCCACTCAACAAATACTGCAACAGTTCCCCTTCTCTCATTTTGTCCTCCCGCGGCAGTGTCAGCTACTCAACCGCACTAAAACCGTTGACAAACCATGGATAAGAGCCTGTCTGTCTTTGGGCACCATGTGTCTTCTGCCTTCTCCTTGTTCAGCTTGCTGCTGCCTTCTGCAGAAGACTGCATGTGAGAGGCCAAACGGGCTTCCTGCACGGATCCCTCCCATGCTGTCCCCAGAGCATCGCAGCCACGGGCAAGCCAGCCCTGCCAGATGGGACTGGGTCAGCATAATCTGCCCCCATCCACAACTCTCGGGATAACTAGTGCAAGATGAGCCAGGACAGATTGTTCTCAATGACAGACTCCAACTTCTGCTACTCTCTAGTGCCAGCAATTACTTTAGCCAGAGCATGACCATATTCACACACAAGATTAGCCTTTTCCATGAATACCAGTACAGTTTTCCCTGTAATCGTCTAGTTTCTTTTCTTCTTAAGAGTCCTGAGAAAACTTTTGTTGGCAGAAATTACCCTGACTCTACAGAAATCAATAGATCTCTGACAATTTTTATTCCAAGTCAGGTTCTTCTGCCGCTTGGCAAGGAGACCCACAGGGCATTAGGGTAACCTGATAGGAGAATTCAGGGCTTTGTCCCTGCGCTTGGACCTGCCTTACTAAGAGGGAAAGTAGAGTCCACGGAACGAGAGGAAAAGGGCAACGCATTGTTTAACAGAAATGAATGCCATCATAATGTCATCATCATCTGCAACGGCAACAAGTCTGGAGTCAGGATTGCATTGACTGAGTTTGCATGACCTCAAGAAATTCTCTTCTAGTTTCTGCTTCTTTTGAGTAAAAACAGTCAGGAAGTTGATAGAATACTGCTTTCTTTCATTGGGTGTTTTGGGAAATGTGATTGATGGGCTAGACGGATAGCGTTATGGTTTGTGCTGTCACAGTAACTCTTCATGCCTGATAGGGCAGGGCTGCACATCTCACAAAACCTTGTCAAAGTAATAGTAAATAGCCTTTTTGATTTAAAAAAAGAGTAAAATCAAGATTAGTACCAGGAAAGATAGAAATTCTTCTTGGAAGTTATTTCCTTAATATTTGGATTTAATCTACCTTATCCAGAAACATCTGTCTGTGTGCATAAGAAAGAAATACGCTTTTGTCTCCTGCAGCAGTGTCCAAAAATGAGGTAGTAAGTATTGCTTCCTGATCACACACGAATGGGTTTTTATCTGTGCCAAGATCGTAATATGAACACTGGAATAAAACTGCAAACAGACAAGAAAAAGGGCACACACCTGAAAGACTTTAGCTAGCCTTTGCATCCCCTGAGCTTCACTAGCCTGCTCTAATAAAGCTTCGCTGAAGCTTTGTTTGCTGAGGACATTTACATTCTATTAGGAAAGTGCATAGATCTCTAACAATAGCTTTGTGCCAGGCCACCATTGTATTCCTTGATGCTAATGCAGGCTATTAAAAGAAGAAGTTCAGCCAATGCCCCTTGGGTTCTGGGAGAGCAGGACGATTTGGATGTCAGGTTCACTTCCAGTTTCAAAGCTTTGCCATACAGAGGATTTCAAACCTCGCAATTCCACCTTCTGAATTTGCAGAGGCCACTAAACTGAGAGGGGCTGCAAGTCAATCACAGTTAAAATACCAAAATATCTTGGCAATTAGTAAATAAAAGTCCAGAAACAAAATAATTCTGTAGGGACTAGAGCAGGGCAGCAATAATCAAACATAACTGCAGAAAAGAGGGCAAACTGAATTACAAGCTGAGCTTGATGTTGTCCTTTTGCAAAGGAGGTGAGCAGCATGCTGGGCTGCCCAGGCTGGGAGCCTGGTCTGCAGGGGCAGGTGGAGTACACCGGGCTGGGAACACCCGAGCTGAAGCATCGGTCGCAACATGGGATCGTCAGGCGCTGGGAAAAATCTTTCAGTTGAAAGTGTAAAAAAAGGGAAGCAGTGTACTAGATTGCTTGAGGGCCCACAGAATCTGCATCACAAGAGATTTTGAAAAACAAGTGGATTAACACCTGTGAGGAATGGGTGAGAATGACAAAGGCAAAGCTGGTTCTATCCTGAAGGAGAGGCAGGGGTCTGAACACTCCTTCTGTCCTGCTTTCCATGGTCACATCCTCAACTGCTGTCTTGGAGCTTGGGCTTGAATTCTCAGAGCCAACTGGGGTTACAGCCAGTTGCGTCCACCCAGCTTGTGCAGGATCACGGGTGTGCAGGAGAGCAGTGTGTTTTCCATGTACTTCCTCTGAGTGCCTTCATTGTAATTCATTGCCCAAAGGGCTGCACAACATGAAGAGGAAGGCAGCACTCCAAGGAAAACATCCCTGACTGACCTCCAGTGCCCGCAGTTAATCCGTCTGCTCAAGAGGCCAACTCACTCCAACCTAGTGCCAGACTGTTGATCAGTTCACATGACCAAGGAGTCTGGGTTCAGTTACAGGACTAAAGCCAGAACAACAATAGATGCAACTACTAACTCCGTGTCTTCTAGGAAATGTATACATCACTTACATGTAAGCGTCCCTTATCACCTCCATGACATATGCAAGCCTATAAAGTGTCATGCTGAGCCAGGTCCATAGCCCATCTAGTTAATGAGGCTGTGACTGCTATTTGACTGCCCCTGTGTATTTCCCTGGAAACCAGCTCCATTCTCCAGAAAGGCACCTTTGGAAGTAATTCTGCATACGGAAAAAATGCAGCAGGGCAATAGTGGTGTCTTGCAGTCATGGGTAGTTTTGCCTGGGTAGAAGCATTATAACTCGTACACACTGAGTGATAGGAAACAATCCATTCGCTCCAGCCACAGTGACATCAAAATATCGTATCCGTTTCTGAGAATGAAGCTAAATGATAATTCACATCCTATCATTCCTTACAGAGCTAGGAACTGAGGAAAAGACTATTTCTCTGATGAATCCTTTCTGTTTGAAAGAGCATGCTCGCTAAGGATGTCTTCATTTTTCCTCATCATCTGCAGGACTCCATGACATGCACAGGAGAGAAGCATTTTAAGTAAATCACCCCAGCCTGACTTCAAAGGAAAGTGAGCTGGACAAGATGTGCCAAAGGCTTTAACATCTGCGCCGTTCCTATAAAGCATTGTTTTGCCCTTCATACTTAGTGAGGAGACACCCACATGTGTTTTCCACTTTCATTGTGAAAGCAGGAAATGTTTAATTAAAATCAAGCTTAACCTACTTTGTTTTCTCTTCATGCCGAAGTAACATCAGCTGCCGAGAGGGAGGATCTGCGAGTCTTGGCACCCAAACGGCCTCTCCCGGCGGAGGGACAGAGCCGGAGAGATCCGGACAGATCCGCTGGGATGGTATCTGTGTCCCTGGGGTACGGGAGCAAATTAGGCCATGTACCAGCATGGGCAGAACTTGCTGTGTGCTGGGGAAAGTCACCACGGATAGTTGTACCAGGCCAAACTCTGTTGTCATTTATAGAGAATGACGGAAAATAGGGATGGCAGGAACCTCTCCAGGAGCTGCGGTCCACCTGTCTTACTCCAGTCGGTCACCCTGATGAGCCGCAGCGACTCGGAGCCACGAGAGCTGAAGTGAGGGCAGCTGCAGATGTTGTACTCCAGGATCCTCCTTGGAGCCAGCAGCCATGGCTTGGGGTATCGAATCAGATTAAGAAACTCAGAGATGTGACTGATTTATATCCTCACTGCACCAGGCCAAAGAAAGGACGCTCCATCCAACTTCATATCCAGATCTTATGCTAAGGCACCTTTCATTTGCCTTTCCCTGGCCGTATGGCAACACAGATCTTTGTGCTATGAGTTAGCGATGCAGAACACAGTCCTATGGTCAGGAGTGGTTAGGGAGGAAGTTTAAGGCTGCAGATTCTTTCCCCACAGACAACTCCACTTCCAGTTATGTACCGTTATGTGTTGAACACAACTTCACTTTACCACGATGGTACTTTCAAGTGCTTTTTGCTATGGCCCTGCAAGTGCCAGGAGAGGCACCCATGCTCATAGGGGAAAAAAAATAAAAATTGTGTCACAGGAATTTTCCATGCAGTGATTATAAGTGAAGTCCTTAGCGGCATCCAGCAGGCCACGCTGGAAAACTCTGTAGCATCAAAGTAGGCTCTGATCAATGTATTCTAAAGAACAAAATTATTTCCATTAAAATTTTCACCAATTCAGATATTATTGAAATTGAAGTATTCTTCAAATAATTCAGTGTTTTGAGTCAAACCTCTCTGTGCAATTTTCTTGCCAAAGATGAGTGACCCAAGTCAAGCTAGAAGCAAATTAACATTTGCAATTTTAATAAATTTCCCAGCCAGGTGTCAGCTTTCTCATTTGCAGGGAAATTTTGAGGCATGCTTGTCGAAGCTGTGAACTGCTATTTAATTGGGATTGTCATATTTATTAACATAATTACAGACATTTTTCTATAATTTAGATGAGGTCTTTGGAGCTTAGAAGAACAGCAGCCAGAATACAGTGCTAGCCACAATCCCATTATCGGACGACACCCCTTGTCCATAGGAACATAATCCCTGGCTCATATAGTATATGAAAGTAGGCTGAAATTGCTTCCTCAGCTACAGATGGGGAAACTGAGGATAAGAAAGAAGAAGGTGTCTCAGAAAGTAGGATTCCTTTCTTCCATCAAGCTGTAACATCTTGCAGCAAAGGGAAGGCTGAGAGACAGCGGATTACCTAAATACATTGTCATTTTTATGCATTTAAAGTGAGAAGAGGATGGCTGGATTTGTCCCAGATATCAGTGACATGATATTGGAGGTTTGTCTCAATCACTTTAATGCCATGTCTTGTATTCTTTTCATTCCCACTTTGGCCCATCCTGGCATCACCCCATACTTCACCTGTTCAGCCTCTTCCTCCTGTTTTCCCCAGAGAAGGGGAAGTAAACTGAAGTGAACAGGAGCTCAGGAAAGAGCTCAGAGCAGAACAAAAGTGTAAGGTACTGTGGCTCATAGAGTTGAAGCACGGCAGTATTGTTTCCTCAGCTTTAAAAGCTATAAAATGGAAAGCAGCAGAGCACAAACATGTTGTCATGACAATGAGTGTGATAAAAAATGGGGGTTTCTGTGCGTGCTTAATGTGTTGAGAGAAAGGTAACCAGGACAGCACTGAACACTTGATAGATTTCACTGCGTTGAGCAAAGCAGCACAGAGACTGAAATGTAATCACAGTAGCGACAAATTATCTGTTACTGATTAAATGATCCAAACTTTCCTACCTGTATTGATGGACACTGGTGCTCTAGTGGGCGTGAGGCAGAAGCCACAAAGCACAGAAAAGGGTCTGTGCAGGCGGTTCCACAGTCCAGTCTAGGTCTCACGGACTAATCCGAAGTCCTCTGAAATTAGCAAGAGCTTCTCCAGAAAATCAAAACCTGCTCTACAGACTAAATCCTAGTCTGTAGAATGAAATACAAGGGTTACAGTGTCACTGTGCAGTTCTCCTCCCAGAACATGGGCTGGATTATTGAACTTGTAGGGAAGAAGCATCAGGACGGGTTCCTTGATGAAAATGATTACCTGGGGGAAAAGTCTCACTTGGCAAACCTCAGACTGGATATAAATGGGCTTAAGAGGAGAATTGCAATAGTAACAGTAGTTGGACTTTCTGTTTACTCTTCTGCCTGCTTACAGGCAGTAAGTGGTCTTTCCAACATCATCAGATACAAAAAACTCCATAACACCTCCCTCATGCCGCGCAGAGCACTTTCAGTCAGAGGCACTTTATTCCATGTCCAGCAGTTAGGTGTCCTCCCAGTGATAACACACTCCCTGACACACAGGACTCTCCAGAACCTGCTCTAATCAGGACAAGGGATGGTCAGCCATGCAGTGAGCCAACAACACCTGCCTGGTCAAGATCCCAACTCCCTGCCCTACCTCAGCAGGCTATGGGTAAACAGAGCTGAATTAGGAAGGGCAGGCATGGAAGCCAAGGACCTACAGACAAGTCCTGCTCTCTCTCTTCATGCACCCACCCTGTACACGGAAAGCTATTCCAGCCTGACCTAACACCTGCAAACTGACCCTTCTGCATGGTTGCAATGCCACACTCAACCCATCCAACCAGGACAGGTAGAAGAAGAACATCTAGATCAAACATATAGTACTGTCTAATGCCTTCAGACTGTAAAAGAGGTGGGAAATGGAGAGAAGTAGGAGAAGAGAACTCAGCAAAAGTGCTAATAAACACAAGCTAAGCATGAATCGTGGCGCAGTACTCTCCACACGCTCAGGCTGGGTGAGCTGAAATTGAAGGGACAGTGTACAAGTCTGACAGTCACAACCTGAAGACCCTGGATGCTGATCACCACAAGAAGCCAGTGCCTATGAAAAATTCTGAGCTAATTCTTTTTTTTTTTAACCTCTTTGCCTGTTTAATGAAACCATTGGCAATGGGAACACCATGCCATGACCTGACAACAGGCTGCCTCAAAATGTACATTTCTCTGGCTGGAGGATTCCTTTTTCCTTTCCTCTTGAGTTCATGAACTATTTACCTTTGATTCTAAGGAAGCAGATAATGGCTTTTTTTCGAACAAAGACAAACTGATAGTAATAGACCTCTCAGTTCATATGAAGGTTTTCTTTGTTTTCAAATCAAAACCCACTGGCTCAGATCCAGCCAGCCGTCTTGAGTTTCTGGATGTGGCTTTTGAGCAAGGTTTTTAAATTACGTCCAGTATCATTTAACTGGTGAAGATTCACATTTTTGAGCTGGGCAGGGCGACCTATCAAACAATCAGGAACGATGGAGGCCAGCCTGCCATGTTTAATAAACCATGTGGATCAGCCCTTCCATGGGTCTTCTGTTTTTACAAAAATAAATCTCTAGCTAGTGTCCCCTAGCCTCAGCATTCTCTCTCTCAGAGCGGACAGCCCTTGTTGTGTTGAATTCCCAAAAGAAGGAATAGTCCATACCTTTCTGCCTGAGAGTGACTGATCACTTTCTGTTCTGCTTTGTACCAGTGGGGATCTCTTCTTCTCAGAGACTACTCTGTAGCCTACTAGATCACACTAGCAGGAAGTTTTGCTTGATATTCCTCCTTCTTCTTCGGCTGGCCTAGACATGTTCAGGTGTCTTATTCAAAGCCGATCTTTGGGACATCTGCCATTGTGTTGCTAACCCCACTCCCTTTCACACGTGTTCTTCCCCATCTGTGTCCACTGCAGTCCTCTTCGGCAGTACAACAGGGCTGATATCTGTCACACTGTGTTTATTTTCTTTCCCTTCACAGCTCACCTGAGCCCCTTTCCTTCCTGCAATCTTCTTCCTGTGAAATCAAGAACCACGCAGTCAATCAAAATTTCAAAAGTAGGTCCTATTTTGAAGGTACACTTGCTTTCAAGCCCAGCAGGGCACACTGTAACTCACCCACTGTGGCTGTTGAGAATGGCTTCTTCTGGGCATCCAGGCACCAGAGAGGAAGTCGCAGCTCTTCTCATCTCAGCCAGAGGTGAGCTTTCATCTCTGGTGAAGACAGAATTTCCACACTGAGAACGTGTCTCACTTTCTCTTGGACAACACAAGTGAATATTGGGGTCTTACCTCTCAATTTGGCCACAAAAGCCCTCCAGGTATTTTGACTCCTCTCTTTGAAATTCCCATTTGTTTCCCAGTTGCCATTAAGAAATGTGCTGTTCTGCTGACTGCACAGGATCTCAAGGACTTGGAAGCCCAGCGTGGCTGGAAGAATTTTCCTTGCTGGCCACCTCTCTTCTCACAGTGGTTCAAAATCAGTCACATTCCAGACAGATGGCCAATGTGAGCACCCCATAAAACCAGCAAGAATAAACGATCGTTACTTACCTGGCACACCAATTTACAAAACGTCGTGGTGTTTACCCAGGGGAACAAGAGGGGAATCCCTCATTTTAAAGCAGGGTCTGGGCTGTGTTGTGAAGGCAGAAAGTCAGACTGATATGTTGTGGGCAGCACCCACAGACAGACTGTCTCCATTTCACTCACAAGCATGACAAATGTGGGAACTTCTTAGCTAGGAAACTACTCATGTGTTTGCATAGCATCTAGGGAAGAGAGACGGTGTGTATTTCTTGCAATGGAACTACACTGTGACTGAAGTAGCTCATGGCCCTAGGACTAACAGTGTCTCAGTTATTAACTTACCTCATACTAGAGGGGCAAGTCTTACACTTTAAAAAAATGCTGTTTCTTCCTATTCTGTCACACATGTAAGAAAATCACTGGGAAGGCTTTTACTTTTCTTTCTTAAGTGGAAACTAAAGAGTGTTTCCCATTTGTCTGGTGGTTCAGTATATATGTTATTTTTAAAGGCATTAAAGTTCACCACCTCCAGACAACAGGCCACTGTTCTTGAACAAAAATTTACTTATCAGAGAAGTCACACAAGGGTTAAATGACTTGTCCAAGGCTGGGAGCACATAACCAAGTGGGGATTGTAACTAAGGGGCAACCAGGCTCCTTTCCTGTTCAGTCACACTGCTGCCTGCACTGCGATGATTTCATTCACCAAAACACAGTCATGGACAAAGAACGGACTCTGCAAAAACAGCCCCTTATCTGCTCCTGC